TTGGAATGAAATAGAAAAAATTGGCCCAAAAGGAACATGACTTTCAATGTCCAATTTTCTCTACAACTTTGAGTAAGTTTTGATCATGGAAAAATGAATGTAGAGATGAAGGGCATGTTCCAAATCATTTTAGTAAACCTCTCAAAAGTGATTTCTGTCGTTCCAAAATTATTCTCAAACATGTACAAAGAGGCCCAAAGAGAGGGTAGGGGAAACATGAGCAATCCTTAACAGGCCCGAAGAGAGGGTAAGGGAAACATGAGCAATCCTTAAATTGTTGTTGGGCAAACCATTATACGCTTGATTCAATGTAATGAGTTCTATCAGAATGGTAAAAGAAGTAACGATCACACAAATGTCACAAGGCTCTTGAATAACCCACTAATTAACAGTATCTCGTGGAGTCGACAGTAAATGTGCAGCAACTATTGAGCAAAAAGTGTGCAAATGGCTAGAACGCCAGAAGAGAGAACTAACTGTTGAACACAACTCACTGTGGGAAACACTCGCTCTCTTTATTAAGACCAATCGAGAAGAGAATACAAGACACTCTGTAGAATACTTCTGCTTTTTTATTGTTTTTAGATTTCTTGGATGAATAACCTAGGTAGGGTGGGGTATTTATACTGAGCCTAAACCATCTATATTTAACCAATCTAAATCTAGACCTAACAAATCTAAATCTTTCTCCTAAAATATTTAGATCTCTTTCTCCTAAAATCTCTACTAAAATAAATATACTGGGCTCGTACAATTATTGGGCTTGACTCTATTGGGCTAGTACAATTATTGGGCTTGACTCTATTGAGCTAGTGATGATATTTCAACACTAACATCCGCAACCACAAGTGCAAGTTTCTTTCTTCTTCTTTCTGGGTTCAGAAGTAAGCTCTAAAGCATCCTGATTGATTTTTGCAAAGTTAAACTTCGAAACCGATGCTTGATAATTTGATCAAATAGTACAAATTGTTGCCTATATATGCAGGAACAATGTGTAGAATAATTTGCAAGTGTGCGTGGAAAGGGAAAAGAGGTTTTATTTAGAGAGGCGAGCACAATCTTACTTAAATGCCATTCCATAGTCTGAATTTGCATATGCCCCTACGATTTTGTTGAAACGAGGCACGAATAGACTGAATCATGGAATGCACTGAAGGTATGTGAGCCAATTTTTCATTCTGCTCCTGAAAGAATGGTTCATATTAGTTTGTGGTTATGTCTTTAGGAGAGAGAGATGTGCAATACCACTTCTTCGAGACGTTCTTCCAACCCTTTAAACTTTGTATCAGTAGGCATGAATACCTTCCTGTAAGCAGATCTCAAGCCATTGATCTGGATCCTTGGACAAAAATATATGGTAAGCCTTTCCATATATAATCACTAAATGATGCGAGTAAATTTGAATAAAATATAATGAAAAATAAAGTGCAACCTCTTCCCCCGTGAATCCATTGCGCCGAAGTCCCTCTAGATTCAAACCACGAAGTTCTGGTCTTTCTCCCGCCACCATCATATATTTAGGTACATCTTGGGAAACCTTCAGGCATGTAGTATTATTAAATGAAATTGGGTTTGTAAATAAAGAACTGCATTTTTTATGGATTGTTTTAAAACACACACAAAAAAAAAAAAAAAAAAAAAAAACAAATATGTTCAACATTCAAGCAAACAACTGGACCAATTAGTTTGTGTTTAGGAGATCAGCATGCTAACCACGTTGCTACAAAGCTCTTCTGACAAGATTATAAGGTACAAAAAGTTGAGCAATGTTGAAGTATCCGACACACATTCCTAATAATAATTAGTGTACAGTGGCAAAGATAATAAAATGAAAAATGATAATACCATCGAACCCGCAGCAACAAATGAGAAAGAACCAACATGGCAGAATTGATGAACTGCAGTGGCGCCTGCTGTGTGAACGTAGTCCTACAACAAGAGCACTTAGTACTTCGTTAACCACACTAGATGTTACTTTGTGCAAGATAAGAATTAAAAGAGATTGAGATATCCAACCTCCACCACAACATGGCCGGCTAGAAGAGTATTATTTGCAAAAATATTGTTGTTCCCGATCTTGCAATCATGAGCAATATGACAGGATCCCATTATGAGATTGTTGTCACCAATAGCCTGATTTTCATATACCAGGATTAAAAAAAAAAAAAAAAAAAAAAAAAAAAAGCCACGGATCATAATATAGATTCTAACGATCAGAGAAAATTTGAAGTCTCTTCAGAGCAATTTGATCTTACCGTCACATCACTTGACTTCGAAGATCGGTGGATTGATGAATGTTCTCTTATGTCATTGTTATCTCCAATATCAAGGAAGCATTCATCCCCTGGCTAAATCATTAAAAATAATCTTATATTAAGAGCAACTATATCCTCTTTTGTTCCTCTTTTAGAACATTAGTCACCATGGCTTCTCATAACAATATCTAAGTTAAGCCCGTAATAGTGATCATAATCCACAGGAATGGATGCATATGTGTTACTGATAACATTAAAATTAAGTCATTAATAATCTAATAACACCCATTCATCAGCAAATAGTCCAAAAAATCTCAAATTTACAGAAAAATGAAGAACATTATCTTATCCAGGGTAATAATGACATGTATGAGAAGAGAAAAACTAAAATTGCTTATCAGCATTGATTTAAGCCACCTACTGCTTAGAAGAAAATAGATGACAATCTGGAATATGGAAAACAAATAACAGAACAAATGATTGAGAAATGCAGAAAATAAAGAACATTTATCAGAGAACCATCCGCACTCTATATAGTTCAGCTTAGAATTGGGTAAATGTCAAGTCTACCAAATTCTAGAATTGATTATTATATGCATTCAGCTTCCACAATGATTTTGCCAATCATTCTATGAGGCAAGTACATCAGAATTTTAATTAGACAGCCATATACTAAAAATTACTAGGAAGTTAACTTGCTTGTCAGCAGCATTGTTTATCATATGTTGATTCTATCTCATTTCAGCAAATCTACTATCATAAGAAACAGTATATGGTGCACAAGTTAGGCAAAATAAAAAAAAGAACAGTGCACTAACGGAATATAATTCAAACCAAAAATGAAATTTTACACCTATCTATCCAACTGATAATTCTGAAAAATGTAAGATTGAAATATCAACCTTGTATTTCATGTCTTGGCATCTAATGCCAACCACTGCATGGTGACCTATTTTGTTATTACATCCAATGACCGTACGACCAGGAAGGTCCTCACCAACTATTGCGCCACTGCCTGACCATGTTTGCAGAATAAACACAATAAGATAAGTTGTGTAATTCACCCTTAGCATATTACTATAAAAGATGTCTGGTAGAACTCTAACTCACGTCATCAAGACACATCGATCCCCTAGTTCTGTACAGCCAAAAATGTGGCTTCCAGGATGTAATTGACAACCATTTCCCAGCTTTGCAAAGGCTCCCACAGTACAGAATGGACCAATATACCCATCCTGTTACATAAGGAAGATCGATTGAATCAATTATTTACAAACCAGTAGCAAGAATGTAAACACATCATCAAATTCACTACTTGACTTCTAAGTTCTTAAAATTCCTATTGATATAGATGTGTTATTTCTTGGAATGTAAATTCTGTTGAAATTTTGCCTAACCTATCATCATCAAAATTTTACTAAATTGTTTCATGACATGTTTTGCATTTAAAATTGTGTTTGTTTTTTGTATTATGACAACAAATTTACCATTTATATTAAAGAAAAAAAATGTATATACCACAAGTACTGCATTACAGAATAAATTTAAAATTAACATCATGCACAAATTTTTTTACAATCAATATTATGCATTTTACACTTTTAAACACATTTCATGAGGTATATATTTTTAAGAATAGTTTATGCAACTTTGCATTAAATATTTATTGACATGGTTAACATGATAATGTGTAGTAAATATAAATATATATATATATATATATATATATATATTGAAAATATTAAGATAAACAAACTATTCTGCCAGTGATAACATGATAAACATGAAGTAAGTACAAAAACGCCATCCGATTCTCAACTCAAAAGTAGTGAATATCCATCGATATTCATGCCAGTGAATCCTCCCTGTGCATTCCAAATACAACACATACCGCAATTAAGGAAAATAATCACATGAACGGTTTAATGAAAGTTTTTAATTAATAACAAAGGGACTGAAGAAAGCACAAGCGCTGAGATATTGAAAATTAACAGAATCATGAACACTTGAACACGTAACCAGGTCGTCAATTAAACAGATTCAGATTAACTCAACACGATAAAAGACAGTTCAACAGTTGAAAATGAATGACCTCGCCAATTACAGCACTCGGATGTACGACAGCGGTTGGATGGATGAACGTAGAGCTTCTTTCAATGGCAGTTTCCGATTTTGCGTCTTCCAAAATGACTACAACATAGAATAAGAAAACCTAGAAGCTCAATACAAAGCAAAGAGAGGGAGGGAAAGGAGAAGAGAAGTTACAGTAACAGAGCGTAAGAAATACGAACAAGTTGATGAGCGACGAAGATGATTGAGTGAGCAAAATGAGCGGCGAGCTTTGAGAAGTGACTGCATCAGCGGGAAATCGAGAGCGACGGAGGGAGTATCGACTCTTCCTCGACCAAAATCAGTTGCCGGAGACTCCGAAAAGAAAGCGTTGGATTACGACCCGACACAGGCTTCGTAAAATCGGCGCCAAGATCTTTCTCCCCGCAAATTATTTTCCTTTTTTTTGTTTAAAAAAGAAAATAAGTTAAATTACAACTTTACCCACTAAATTTCGTTGGTATCTATTTTACCCGTAACTTAAAAAAAATTATTTAATAAAATTTTAAATTTCCATTTTTATATTTAAATACTATTATTAATACAAAATTAAAAAGTTTAAAGCCAAATTAAATAAATTTAATCTCTTTTTTTTTTTAATTTAAAATGAACTAAAAAATAGAGAAAGTTAATAATAATAGTAATAATTAACATATATTCAGCCTAATTATAATTAGAATATCATACAAGTATCCTTTATTTGGAACTAATCCAAGCCAAATCTAGACACTTTTTATGGTACAAAAATTTGATCCCCATATTTACATTACACATTGTTGCTTAAAGCTATAGACCTCACTCCAACATCCCCTTAGCTATATGAGCGTTGATTTCAGAGCATATACTTCAACAACTCTGCAAAATTTTCCTGCAGGCTTCCTTTGCATGGCTGCTGGATTATAGAACGATGTCGCCCTCCAAAACCCGAAGCACCTATAACAACCACGAAGCCGAGATGCCATTAAAGGGTGGTAATATAAACACTTTGAGAATGCCTTGGATGAATGATCGTGTCTGTGTGTGTGTGTGTGTTTTGGTTGTGCTTCTGGGATGAAAGTTGGCGATCGCTTTGAATTTTACCTGAGACATACGCGGTCTTATGTACGGGTCGTGTTTGATGCACAAGGAAGCGCATCGCAGCATGCGGTGAACTTCCTCGTCCGAATAACAGTTCATTAAGCATGGATCGACTAGTTCAGAGATTGCGTTTTTTCGCAATAGCTTTCGTGCCTGATTCGAACATGAAACAACAAGTGAATTCAAATGAGAAAACAGGAATGGTGTTTTGAGAATGAAACACAACTAACTTTGCTGCTTATGAGACAGACTTACCCATTCTGTGAGGCACTGCTGGCCCTTGGGACGGTTTAAATCGATCGCTTTACGTCCAGTCACGAGTTCCAGCAAGACTACACCGAAGGAGTATGTATCGGCTTTCTCCGTGATTTGGCCACTCTGTGCATACTCTGGAGCAAGGTAGCTGCAAGCAAAGATTTTGCAATTTTATTTTTCTGATTGATATAGTTTGTGTAATGAGAATGGAAGGATTGAGAGAATTGAAAATGGTTACCCAAATCTCCCCAGGATTCTGGTTTCCACTGCTAGGTCCCCATCAGGCTGCCACCTTGCCAGCCCAAAATCTCCGACCTATAACTCGAAAACAAAGTTGCATGTTATTTACTTGAATTATTAACCAAAGAAACCCGAAAACAGCACACTTCATAAGCATTTTTATTTGACTGAGAGATACGCTCGTTCGTCAAGGATATGGGTTGTTCATGTGAGATCCCACATCGGTTGAAGAGGGGAACAAAACATTTTTTATAAGAATGTGCAAACCTTTCCTAACAGACACGTTTTAAAAACCATGAGAGGAAAGTCGAAAGGAAAAGTCCAAAAGAGGACAATATCGGTTAGCAATGGGCATGGACTGGTACAAATGGTATTAGAGCTAGACACTGAGCGGTGTGTCAGCGAGGATGCTGGGCCACAAAGGGGGGTGGATTGTGAAACCCCACATTGATTGGAGAGGGGAAAGTGCGCCAGCGAGAACGTTGGCCCTCGAAGGAGAGTGGATTGTGCAACCCCATATTGATTGGAGAGAAAAATGAGTGTCAATTAGAACGCTGGGCCCCAAAGGGTGGAGGATTGTGGGATCCCACATCGATTGGAGAGGGGAACAAGTACCAACGAGGACGTTGGGCCCCAAAGGGCAGTGGATCGTGAGATCCCCCATTGATTGGAGAGGGGAACAAGAGCCAGCGAAGACATTGGGCCCCGAAGGGGGGAGGATTGTGAGACCCCACATCAATTGGAGAGGGGAACGAGTGTCAACGAGAACGCTAGGCCTCGAAGGGGTGGATTGTGAGATCTCATATCAGTTAGAGAGGGCAACAAAGAGGACAATATCTACTAGGGGCGGGCTTAGGCCGTTACCGTTCAAATGAAAACAAACAGAAAAATTCTTATGCTGATCCAAAATTGTAAATGCATCTTAGAGTAAATAGGATTTTCTTTGGTTTCCTTCCGTAGGATAACTCATGGCAGTTAATCACAAGCACAGCTGGGTATTAAGATGAGAGCTTGACTCACTAGTGGTTCGAAATCATGAGTAAGGAGGATATTGTTTGGGCGGATATCACGGTGCACAATACACCCCACCCGACATTCTTCGTGAAGGTACCTCAAACCTCGAGCAGCTCCGACTGCGATCTTTTGTCGTGCAGACCATTTCAACGGATCCCGATTTCGTCCTAAAAAGATTGACCATGGCAGTTAATAAAGATGGATACATGTCATCAACAAAACAACAAGGTTTTTTGAGACAAGACATTACCATAAAGATGGGAATCAAGAGATCCATTGCAAATATATTCATAAACAAGCAACCTTCTTCCACCCTCCACGCAAAATCCAATGAGCATCACGACGTTCCGATGTTGAGCACAGCTTAAGACCTCGACTTCTGAACAAAATTCTTGATCCCCCTGGGTACTAGCCAGTTTATATTGCTTGACAGCAACGACTTGTCCATCGGGTAAGATGCCTCGGTGCACAGACCCATATCCACCCTCAGCCAAAAAATTCGTTTGTGCAAATCCGCTCGTAGCAACTTCAAGCTCTCCATAAGTGAACCATCTAGGAGGATTCCCAAATGCAGGGGCCTTGTGTTGACACATTGAACACAGTGGAGGAGGGCCTAGAGGTGCTTTTCTGGATAACGAAACCGTGTTCCTTATGTTTCTGCTTGAGCTAACATTAGTACTTCGACTCACCGCATCGGTGTTAGGATCTTGAGAAAGAGTTGACATTTTCTTGACTAGACCTTGACGTGTTGAAGCTGGAGGTCTATGATGAACATTTTGTGATTCTTCCATTACGTGTTGCTGGATTTTACGCCTCGAACTTACAATATCAACCATACAACGCTGGAAATACGAAACGGATGGAGTTTGCTTTTCGTTTTCAGAATCACATTCAGATCCAGATAAATTTCTCCCACCTTCAGCTGCTGTTCTGGATTCATTTCTCAAGCTGCCACAAAACCCAGAGAACAAAGATGAACTGCCCACATCCGAGCTCGATATCGACGATGTCCCAACATCAGTTACCGTAAGAGGTGACTCGACATCAGGAGTACTCACAGGAGTCATATCAGGCCCCCTAAATGCAGCCGATTCATCGAAATAGCTTTTCAGACACTTCTGAGAGACATCTAATTCATGTGATGATATCCAAGCTTCTCTAGTAGTATTGATTTTAGGGGATTCCATCAAATTCAAACGAAGAACCTTAGGCTGAGATTTCTTCATTAGAACAACATTACACTGCAGCTCTTCCAAACAGTTCTTCCTTTCATCTTTCAAATGCCTATCCATAATTATGAAACAACAAGAATGAACAAATGGGAACCAAACAAAAGTGAACGAAAAGCTTTAAAAGTACACAACGATATGCCTAAAATGCCTAAAATGCACACAGTTCACATGAATGGATGCCTAAAATAGAGACAAAATTTACATGATATCTATTACTTGTCCAATATCACCCAGTTTGATTGAACTTTCTTAGCTTCAGTAGCCACGATACCCCGAGCCAAACCCGAAAGAGCTTTGATCCTGACTTTTATCTGCAACAAGAATCCACAACTTTGAGGATTCGTAGACAACGAGGAGCAAGAACTAAATAAAAAAATGCTTTGGAAACAAGTTATTAAACAGACCTTCAGTGGTTCATAAGCACCATGAAGCTGATGAACCATTTGAGAACATGAATGCACAATGTCATCCTTCTGATCTGAAAGGGTCTCTGATGGTGTTCTAAGATGACCAATCGCACAGTCGCTCGTAAATCGGGAAAACCCCCGCAACCATTTACCTATAACGGTCAGATTTTCCATCAAGACTATTACAGTCAAGAGGGGAAAAAATTAACAACTAAACGACAGAAAGAACAGACATCATAGTAATGAACATGAATAGTTGACATTATCATCAATGGGATAGTAGTTTTACTGGAAATTTCAGGAAAATGTTCTCAAATAATGCCAAATTTCCATCCATTTTAGCCACAGATTCTCATGTTTTAGGTAATAATATGTTACTGAATGTTTGATTCTGAGGAATCAAGGATTATCTAGCTCCCTACAGACATGAAGTCACTCAAAATAATTGCTGAGACAAACATTTATGTAGCAGAAATTCACGAATTCTCATCTGGACATCATAAATGCAATCGAAACGTGTCTGAAAACTTATCCATTAAGAATTTCCTTCTCAGGCAAAGAAAATCTACAAAAACACTAAGAATTTTCAGAGGAATCTTACTTGAGTGATGAGAGGGAATAACCACAAGGAGCTTAATATGATCTCCAGGCTGAGCAACATGAGTCAAAGCCCAAACCAGAGCAGTCTTAGAAACTTCCTTGGAGGTGGCTTTAATGGCGACCACCACCACTTTCCCAGCCACATCAAGATGACTCTTCTCCATAAACCCTTCAAAAACTCTCACAAAATCCACAAACCCAGTTCAGTTCCCAACCTTGAGGATCAAAATCCAATACCCATGTCAGAAATTTCCATTAAAGAAGACCCCTGAAATGAAAACCCCCAAAAAGAAACCGACACTGAACACAGGAAAACAAAAAAATTAAAGGGTACTCCGTATTCACAATACTGCAGCAATGAGCAGAGAAATCAGCGAAGGAAATGGCTCAGAAACCGATGTGCTTTTGCTCGCCTTGCGAAATGGGAAAAAAGGAGCTTAAAGAAGAAAGTAGAGTGAGTGCGGGCCCTCTTTTTACATGTGAAATTCACGCAGCCCACATGCTTTAACGAGTAAAATTGAGCTAATTTTTTACCCATTTGGCCATTTTTTTTTTTTTGCTCTTGGTTAAAGATCACGTATTTGTTTAGATTGCTGTCAGTTAGTATCTAATTAAATCTCCGTTAGGAGTTAGATACAGCTTTTTTATTTGATTTAGTTTTGATTTGATTAGATTTTATTTTGATTTGTTTACTGGTTTGTTACCAGATTTTCTGCAGATTTTTAGGTAGATTTTCTGAATATCTTTTGTATTCTCCATATAAATATGGAGCATTCTTGCTCTTCATAATTTAATCATCTCATCTACCATTCAATAAATCCCTCTTTCACTAACAATTGGTATCAGAGCTATCTTCTTAAGGATCTGTGAGATCAAAATGGGAGGAGAATCCAGTTTTTCCGCTGTTGCACCACCAATTTTCGATGGAGACAATTATCAAATGTGGGCAGTTCGTATGGAGACTTATTTGGAGGCCTTGGATCTTTGGGAAGTAATAGAAGAGGATTACGAGGTTCCTCCGCTTCCAGCAAATCCTACTGTAGCACAAATCAAATTACAGAAGGAAAAGAAGACAAGGAAATCAAAGGCGAAAGCTTGCCTATTTGCCGCTGTATCACAAATGATCTTCATGCGAATAATGTCCCTCAAAACAGCAAAGAAAATCTGGGATTATCTCAAGGCCGAATACGAAGGAGATGAGAGGATTCGTGGAATGAAAGCCCTAAATTTGATTAGGGATTTCGAGTTGCAGAAGATGAAGGAGTCAGAGTCGGTGAAAGAGTACTCTGACAGACTTCTCAGCATCGCCAACAATGTGAGATTGCTTGGATCTGTATTAAATGATTCCAGGATAGTTGAAAAGCTGCTAGTCACTCTTCCAGAGAAGTTTGAAGCCACCATTACTACTCTGGAGAACACCAAAGACTTGTCAAAGATTTCTCTTACAGAGCTCTTAAATGCTTTACAAGCCCAAGAGCAAAGGAGGTCTATGAGACAAGAAGGGGTGATTGAAGGTGCCTTACTTGTTAAGCATCAAGACAGCCGCAGGTATAAAAACAACAAAAATTTCAAAAATCAATTGACGTATGGAGATTCATCTGCCAATTATCAAAAGACAAAAGGAGGAGGTTTCAAAAAATCCTATCCACCTTGCCGCCATTGTGAGAAGAAAGGTCATCCACCATACAAGTGTTGGAGAAGACCTGACGCCTTCTGCTCCAAATGCAATCAACTTGGACATGAAGCTGTGATCTGCAAAGCCAAAGATCTGGTGAAAGAAGTAGATGCACAGGTCGTTGATCAAGAAGAAGAAGAAGAAGAAGAAGAAGAAGATCAATTGTTTATGGTCACTTCTTCCTCAAGCAAAGAATCAAGCGAGAGCTGGTTGATTGACAGTGGGTGCACAAATCACATGACATATGACAAGGAGTCTTTTGAGGAATTAAGAGACACTGAAGATAAGAGAGTGAGGATTGGCAATGGTGAACACTTGGAAGTCAAGGGTAAAGGCACAGTAGCTATAACAAGTTATGAAGGTACAAAATTTATTCCAGATGTTTTATTTGTGCCTAAAATTGATCAAAATATCTTAAGTGTTGGTCAGTTACTTGATAAAGGCTATAAAGTGTTGTTTGAGAATAAGCAGTGCTTGATCAAAGATGCTAGTGGCAAAGACTTGTTCAATGTCAAAATGAAAGGAAAAAGCTTTGCTCTAAATCCGACGGCCTTTATATCCGGAGTTAGTGCCACTGAGATTTGGCACAAAAGACTTAGACACTTTCATCATCGAGGTTTGCTTCAGATACAGTCAAAGAAGCTGGTAGAAGAACTCATTGACATTGATGATGACATGTCTCCTTACCGTGCTTGTAATTTTGGGAAGCAACATAGGCAACCCCTTCCTAAACAGGCATGGAGAGGCTCGAAAAAGCTGCAACTGGTTCATGCTGATCTTTGTGGTCCTCAGCGAACACCATCATTAAATGGTAATCTTTATTACATTGCTTTTATTAATGAACTAACAAGAATGTGTTGGATATTCTTGTTGAAGCAAAAGTCAGAAGTTGCGGGTGTATTTTGGAAATTCAAAGCCAAAGTTGAGAAGGAAAGTGCATGCTTGATTCAGACTATAAGATCAGATAATAGCAAGGAGTACACTTTAGAAACTTTTAACAGGTTTTGTGAAGAGGCTGGAATTGAACATCAATTGACAGCATCATACACTCCTCAACAGAATGACGTCAGTGAAAAGAGGAATAGATTCATTATGGAGATGACGAGATGCATGCTTCATGAGAAGGATCTTCCAAAACGGTTTTGGGGAAAAGCAGCAAACACTATTATGTGCTTGCAAAATCGAATTTCAACAAAAGTTGTGAAGGACCTTCTTTAAAGTTCATTAGAGTATTTGGGTGTCTTTGCTTCATTTACATTCCACAGGTCAAGCGTGATAAGCTTGACAAAAAGTCAGAAGTTGGCATCTTTGTTGGCATGTTAGAAGAGTCTAAAGATGAACAACAAGATGCTTTGGTTGATGATACACCTGTCCGAGGAGGAGCTTTCAGTGATCGAGAAAAACAAAATNATCCTACTGTAGCACAAATCAAATTACAGAAGGAAAAGAAGACAAGGAAATCAAAGGCGAAAGCTTGCCTATTTGCCGCTGTATCACAAATGATCTTCATGCGAATAATGTCCCTCAAAACAGCAAAGAAAATCTGGGATTATCTCAAGGCCGAATACGAAGGAGATGAGAGGATTCGTGGAATGAAAGCCCTAAATTTGATTAGGGATTTCGAGTTGCAGAAGATGAAGGAGTCAGAGTCGGTGAAAGAGTACTCTGACAGACTTCTCAGCATCGCCAACAATGTGAGATTGCTTGGTTCTGTATTAAATGATTCCAGGATAGTTGAAAAGCTGCTAGTCACTCTTCCAGAGAAGTTTGAAGCCACCATTACTACTCTGGAGAACACCAAAGACTTGTCAAAGATTTCTCTTACAGAGCTCTTAAATGCTTTACAAGCCCAAGAGCAAAGGAGGTCTATGAGACAAGAAGGGGTGATTGAAGGTGCCTTACTTGTTAAGCATCAAGACAGCCGCAGGTATAAAAACAACAAAAATTTCAAAAATCAATTGACGTATGGAGATTCATCTGCCAATTATCAAAAGACAAAAGGAGGAGGTTTCAAAAAATCCTATCCACCTTGCCGCCATTGTGAGAAGAAAGGTCATCCACCATACAAGTGTTGGAGAAGACCTGACGCCTTCTGCTCCAAATGCAATCAACTTGGACATGAAGCTGTGAT